CTTTCTTTCTTTCTTTCTTTCTTTCTTTCTTTCTTTCTTTCTTTCTTTCTTTCTTTCTTTCTTTCTTTCTTTCTTTCTTTTATGTTGTATAGACCACTCCTTTTTTATTTAATATATTTACTTGTTTTCTGGTGATCCACTTTGTATAATATTCAACAAAAAGTTCATTCCTGTCTGAGTGAAGCTGTTGTTTGGATTTCCTGTTAGTATTATTTAAAGAGTTCTTAGGTTGTGTTTTTGTACATAATTTTAGTACTTTTTTATGTAAACCGGATCCATATATATATATATTTAAATTGTGGAATGTGATATTGTATATCAGAACGGCCAGATTTCATGGGTATGTAAAATAAAGTTCTTTGTGTTACAAAGGTCCCCGCGACCCATTGTTACTTTAAATTGTGGGCCCGATCCTGCTCCCATTAGAATTACATTTTGCCATTGACTTCAGCAAGATCAGGACCCAATTCGGTCAATCCAAATAAAAAGTGTTTTAAAGTAAGAGGTTGCAAATATTTCCAGCCAGGGCAGCGTTTCTTTGACTGTTTAAACAGTTTCTTTTCTACTCAGAAGCGCACAGAAGGCCTTAATTCTTTCCCTCTTATTTTGCACTAGCAGCCTTCCACAGCTGAAATTTGTGACTGCTGCTGTGTGTAGGAGTGTGTAGGCCGCCTACGTTCACCCAGGCCAGTACCTCCCTTCGATCTCCCTCGGTGGAAAACGCAGTGGATCTACAGTCCATTTTGATAAATCGCTTGGGAAAGCGCTTCCACTCCGCTCCTGACTTATTCGGGGCTATATTTACCCTGCATGTTTGACCTGCTGAGCTACACATGCTTGGAGGAGCCTGGAAGGGGGAAGCCTGTTATACCAAACAATGTCTGGGAAAGGGTCAGTCAGAGTCCTTACTTAACCAGCTCCCTATGTCGCCTGAATTCTTCTCCGATTTTCTTTTGGGGGCTGGAGGAGTCAACCCGTGATTGCAGCAGAATTTATGGGCCTGGCTGGTTCCTAATGGACAGCAAAGGGCTCTGACAGGAGCCAGCTCCCGTGGGGTCTAGAGGACAGAGACTTCTTTCGAAGAAAGGTGACTCCTACCTCCTTCTCCTACCCTGCAGGGGGAGCTTAGGGCCCCCAGGGGCGGAAAGAGTTAAGTGGCTGAAAATGGAGACCAGGAGGAAAAACAACACGTGAAGCCTTTCAGTCAGTGCTCTAGAAAAACAAACCCTTGAGCTGAGGATGGAAAAACAGGAGCTACTCCCAGTAAGGACTTTAGGGCTTGTAACCGATTTGTTTATAATCTCGGGAAGAGGCGACCACCAAGAAACTAAACCGCTGAGTTTCTCTCCCCAGCTCCCCACCACTTTATGGTAACTAACAAGAGGAATCGTCCCATCGCCGAGCAGTTAAAATGTCCCTTTGTCACCTCCGCTCTAACTTGAATCCTTCGGATTTAAAAATACGGTGTCACTCCCATGTTCCTTCTTAGCCAGCATGCTGGGTGGGGGGCAACGGCTGGCGAAAGGGAAAGTTCTCACTCAGCTGCAGCCAGAAACTCTCCATTACAGAACTACTTGCTATTTCCCACTCCCTATGCTGGCTGCGTCGCCTGCCATCACAATTAGTGTAGAGCTTTAGCTTGATCAGAAATATACAAAGAAGCTTTTACTTAACCACGCTAGAAGCTATTAGTGTTCTTAATAATCTAGTTCACTGCCTAAACAAGTAAGAGGAGGGTCCCCATCTAGTACCACTCAAGCAAAACTCTCACCAGCTTTACTTTTTCTGAGTACAGAGGGTCGGACCTGGCCTTGAAATTGTAACTCTCCTCAAAGGGAGAATTTCATAAGCATCTCATGCACACCTTGGGGGGAAAAAAAACACTCTTTCTTCCTCTCCCTAACGGGGAGGTTTTATTCATATCCTAATATTGACGTCAAGAGACTCTATTGTCCGGCTGTGTTTGGACCCCGAAATCCGTGTCGTCTCCAGCAACGGGGTAACATGAGAAATTGTTTGGAGTAAGTTTGAATAAAGAAGGTTTTTCATTAAATAAAGAAAATATTTCCCCAAGAGACTCCCTGTGACCTCAATGGCTGTCGCTGACATGCAAGGCTTCCCAATGAAAGTCCTCAGTGTGTTTGCAATTAAAATGTTTTTGTTTGATATTAATAACGATAATCTTTACCTAAGTCTAAAGCCAAAGCAAACAGGGCCCTGGAAGCACAAAATCAAGAGGTAATAACTCGGTAAAGATAAGCAGTTTGTGATTTAATCTAGCCTCTTTCCAGAGGGGGTTGGGCGCAAAGTTATCAGGTTTAAACTAATGAAAGTGATTTTTCTGCCCACATTTTATTAAATGTGGAACAAAGCTCCTGGAACATGACTCCCCAAATGTCCCTTGTAAGGCCTGGCTCCTGCAGCTTCACCTGTATTGCTTAACTCATAGCCTGTGTATTTATTTATATTGAGAATAGTGGGGAGGAGGACTTGATGGGCCCATTCATTTCACGGATCCAACAGCCATTGTAATATACTATGGAATGAAACAGTGAGGTCATTCACTTGGTGCACTATAGACAATCATTGTAGTTGAGATTCCCCTGCGGACTAGAATACCCTAGTAAAATGGAACAGATGAAATGTGGATACAATGGTGGTGGGAAAAGATACAGGTAGATGAGACTAGGTTTAAATCCCCACTAACAACTGAAGGACAAATGTAATGTTCTCTTCCTAAGTGAAAGGATGAAACGAAATGAAATATATTTAGATGAACAGATAGTGGGCCCGCTTCTTGTTCGGGTAAAACTGCCATCAACTTCAGGGGCAGAGTAGCAGAACCAGGATTGGCTCCAGTGTTGTTGATGAAATCCGAGAAGACCAATGCACACTGGTGCGATGCAACTATATTCAAGGGGGAAAGTCCGAGCACTCGAACATTCATAAGAAGCACTTGATAGGATCGTTATGTGGCTGTGGGGACCCAGGAGAGCGTTTTGCCAGAGCTTTGCCCTTTTATGGCAAAAGTGTGGCTGTTTTCACCGGGAGAAGAGAGAGATGGAGGTTTGTGGGAGGGCTTGAATAACTCAGCCATGTGCTCGCTTGGGTTTCCCCTTCTGTAGCAGCAGGAACTAGCAACTTTTCCCATTCTCAAGGCTGCTAAAAACCCTCGTGTCCCTTTGATCTCTCTTGGGAGTCTCAGAATGCAAGCAGAGGCCAATGTCTTCTTCAGCTGGCTTCTATACAAATCCTTCCCGCAGCTCTGGCAGGTACTAATGTGTTTACTTAGGTGCGCGCAGTTCCCAGAGCTTGATGGAACCAAAAGTTTAGCACGTTGTTGGAGTCCCCTTAATACAGGTCCAACTGGGAAAGAGTTTTTGTTCTAGTTAGTTCTGGAGGCGGATTGCTGAAGGGGACCTGGGATGGCAGGTTATTACGGAATTGGCTATTTATCCAGGAGCTAAAACTTCCATGGATTTAGCACTCCTAAAAGCAATTTGAACTAATGGAATAACACGTCACAAACTAAATCCTGCAAACCATTATTGATATACACTGGAACAAATCCTTATCTTGCAGTCTACACTCAGGCAAAAGTTCCACCGACCCCAATTGGGATTTTGTCTGAATTTTCGAGAACAGCTAGTTTCCTCTGTATTTTCTTGGCTGGGGGTGTAATGTGTATTTTTAATAAAGGATGTCCCAAAATAAAATATCAATAAGTTTAGACTCAGCTGTTAAATTTTGTAGTCCTGACCCCTGAGTTTGCTCAGGCAAACTCAATGGGAGTTTTGCTTAAAGTGGGGACTACAGTAACTGCCTCTTGCCTTCAGCTGTCTTTACAATTAATTATATATAAGATCTGGTGCTTTTAAAGTACAACATTAATACAGCCCCAACAAGGGAAATTGTGTTCTGCTATCAGTACCCCACAGTCACTGACACACAATTTCTTCACTTCACACGCCTCAGTAGTTAAACTTTGGGTCATATCTGCAAAGATGGTAGCAGTATGTGATCATATTTTCATACACCGATATTTACATTTCATTCCTAAACGTTCTACTCACATTTTGTCAATTGAACTATGTAACACTTTCCTTGGTTGGTTTGGTGTTTCATTGTTTTGTTCCGTTTTTCGAAGTAAAGTTAAAGTCAAGCCATTTCAGAAGAGGGGAGAAAAGTCACGAAATCTGCTGGTCAATAATTTTGCTCTTTATAAAAAACTATTCCTTCTTTTATGGTGGGGGAAAATAATCTTAAACTAGTCAGAAGTGTGTTTGAAATATATATATATATTTTAAAAGTAACTATAACAGTACGATTCCTACTGGCTGAGGGACGCCTTTGAAATGCTGTATTCTTTTTTTCTGTCAAGATTTCTTGCTAGTTTAAAAAATCTCTATAGTTTGTTCTCTGTTTTAACAAGAGTTTGAAAGTTGTGTTGTCCCATTGTCGGCATTTCAATCCCCAGATCTCAAAAACCCACCACCCTTACCCGCTCGCAGCAGCCTCATTAACCAACCTTGTCGTTTGTGTTTTTTCCTGCTTCTTTTAGTTCTACTCACCCGCTTGCTGCACGTTTGCAAATTTGTTTTGAGATCACTTTACAAAAGGAAGCTGGCACCTCTAAGGGATACTAATTACAGATTTTCCTGAGTGACAGCATCTTTTTTCCAAAGATTGAGGAATTCCCCTAAGACTCTTGGGAAGGGCACATTTCTAAACATCCTCAAACACTCTGAATAAGGAGCTACAGATTCGAATGCAAGGAGAGACACAGACAATATTTTGTAAGGCATACCAAAGCGGGTGGGCATTGTTACTACAAGATATATTGTACACACTTGGAGAGAAACCACCGCAAGGTGATCAGAACAGTGTACCTAGCACTTTAAAGACCAAGTTTATTTGTGCGCAAAGCATAAATCTGTAAACAGGTCTATTTCAGCCAGCGAGAACATGCTAAATTAAAATATCC